AAGTACAAGTCACAAACAGATCTCCAGTTCTTTATCCTGATCAACGGCCTCAAAAGCTTTGCTGAAGAAGGTTAATAAACTAGTTAGGCAGGAATGGCCCCTGGTGAAACCATGTTGAGTATCATTAATCAAATTATGCCTATTGCGATGGCGGCTTATATTATCAGCTATAATTGACTCTAGTAATTTGCCTACAATAGAGGTTAGGCTTATTGGGCGGTAATTTGACGGTAACGACTTGTCCCCTGCTTTAAAAATAGGAATTACATTAGCCGTAAGTGGGAGGGGCTGGGTTTGATTGGTGTCGTGGGTAAGGGAGTAAATTCTTGGATAGCTTTGGGTAGGGGAGGTTTAGATAAGGACCTGCCATGTATGGGCCAGTAGGCCTTCTGTTGTGTTCCTTCATAATTATGTTCAAATTGCAATAATTTAAATATGGTATAATTTAGTCGAGATATGGTTGTGAATGCCATATTCCAAGGTTTAAGTTGTTCTTTGTAGATAGATATAACGGGAAAGTGGGTGGAGTTACACTATATGTATGAGAAAATATGGTATAACTCTTGGTAATAAATACTGACAAGATGGTTTAGAAAAATACTTAAGCAAACACTAGGAAACATTTTGGTCCTGGGACCTTGATCACTTCTAACATACAGAGGTTGAAAGACAGTAAATATAGGGGGAGAGTGAGGTGCGAGTGACGCATGGTGACCTGAAGGCCATATTGGGATGAGAACGGGTAGACGATGAAATCGTGTGACTCCTGTGTTGCTGGGTAGGTGGTGCCTTGCCCGGTTGAGTATCATGCTCTAGTGTGTCGGTGACGGCGATTAGCGAGGCTTCTAGACACCTTCGGCGTCTAAGGTCTTGTTCGGTGAAAACGAGTTGTGCCTCATCCCAGTTCATCAAATGCCCCGTGGGGTCTGTCGAGGACACAGGTGTACACTGTCTTCTGTTACTGGCATTTCGATGCTCTTTCAGGCGGACCGCAAGATCTCTGCCTGTTTTGCCTACATATTTCTTGGGGCAGAATCCACAGGAGATGGTGTAGACGCCTGTTGTGGAAGTTAGAAGTGTGGGGCTGCGTTTCGTAGTGAGGTCTTTGATAGCTGATGTGTTTACGGTGGAAATGTTTGTTACTCTTAGCAAGTGTCCAGCGAGTATTCGTGGCAACATCACCACATGGGAGCACTATGAACTGCTTAGAGGGCTGTTCCATGCCACGAATACTCGCCGGGCACTTGTTAAGAGTAACATAAGTGTTTCCACCACAAACACATCATCTATCAAAGACCTCACTACGAAACGCAGCCCCACACCTCTAACTTCCACAACAGGCGTCTACACCATCCCCTGTGGATTCTCTCCCAAGAAATAATGTAGGCGAAACAGGCAGAGATTTTGCACATTCAGTCCCTCAGACCTCGAGCACGCACTTTCAGAAATGCGTGTCATGGTGGTGGTCTGCTTGTGCTCGTGCAGTACCTTTGGAACGTTCTGCATGGGGCCGATATCGTTACAATAGAACTATAGAGCAACTTGATGATTTTAAGCTGGCGAGAGCGGTTGCCCATTGTCGTTGTTTCTACCGTTACTTCGGTTTCCTCTGAGAGTTTGGAAAAAGATAGAGATATTGAGTGGCAAATACTCTCTAGACCCTGTTCTCATTTCTCGGGTTGCCGGTGTCAGCAATGCAGGACCTAATGAAGTTGCCACAGAGATTGGAAATCATCTTGTCCGTATCTCAGGGGCTCCACCTATCCCCCCTCGTTTCTTTTCTCCAGTTCTGTCAGAGAATTACTGCCTTTAGACTTTCCTTCTAGCAGGGATGAGTCTTCTATCTCCCCTTGACGCTTCTATAATTGGAATCAACACTGTTCGCTTGCCGATCGTCGGAAGTTGGGCAGGATGGCATTCATATTCGTATGCTTTAGCATTTACATCCGTCGGCCCTTGCAGTTCTCTTGCATCTTATTTGGTGGCAAAGGGTTCTTCCCCAACTATAGGAAACTACCGTTGTTCTGCCTTTTTGTAAACCAGGTACTTCTGGCCATGATGTCTAAGACTATCGTCCAATTGCTCTTACCAGTACAGTTGCAAGTTGGAGCTTTTAGTAAACAGAAGGTCGGTGTGGTATTTAGACACGCAATAGTCTCTACACTAGTCAATTTGGCTTTCGTAAGGGCCGCTCTGCTATTAACCCTTTATTTTGCTTAGATACTCTTAATGCCTGTGCTGATAACCACTCAGTTATGGCGGTATTTTTTAATCTTGAAAGGCGTACGACACCACATAAAGATATAACATCTTTGCCCAGTTTCATTCTTTAGGCCTCCGAGGCTGTCTGCCACTCTCTTAAAAACTTATCTGAGAGACATTTCCGTGTTCTGGTTAATTCGCTTTCCCGGACTTTGTTCAAGCTGAAGGTGTCCCTCAGGAATGCGTACTTAGCACCACTCTTTTCTTCTAGATGATCTAACCTCTGTTCTCCCATCAGATATTTGGTCATCACTTTGTCGATGACTTTGCTATAGCTTGTGCAGGCCCTTGACTGTTGCCTAGTGGCAGCCTCACTCCAGAATGCTCTCAACCGTGTTTCCCATTGGGCCACTACGCCTGGGTTTAAATTTTCTGGTGCGAAAACACACCTAATTACGTTCACCAGACGTTATCATTGATACTCCATTGTACATGTATAGCTCCCGTATCCCTATAAGTGATTCAGTCGGATTTCTCGGCCTCCTGTTTCGTCGCCGGCTGTCCTGGAAACTTCACATTATTTCCCCTGAAAGCAACTTTGCATAGCCGACTGAAACCCCTCGCTCATCTTTCGTTGGGGACGCGGATCGTCGACCTCTTCCTCGACTGCATTCAGCCCTAATTTTATCGATACTAGACTATGACGATAAGATTTTTTTTTTTTTTTTTTTTTTATTCGCCGGTATTCTCCCGGCCCGGGTCTTTTCCAAGTAGTGGTGACCCGGCCTTGGCTCCCTATCTGGGGAGTGTCTCGAGACTTAAGTCTCCCATGGGAGGAGGTACAGTACCTCCTCATCTTTGGGACCAAGTGTCCCCATGCCTAGCCACATTCCCCGTCCTCACGGGACTCGTAGGGAGAAGCTAGGCCTCTGGTCTGCCATCTACCCCGCCTCAAATGGGCTCGTGGGGATGGCAGTCTCATGAGCTGCAGATGGTAGCAAGCTCAGGCTTATTAGCTTTTCCGACGATAAGATGTATCCCATCCATCATCAGAGATTGTCTAGGTGCTTTTCGCTCCTCGCCGTGATGCTCATTACCTCCGTTTTTTTGTCCGCTCTCATGACCACGATTCTTCTACATACAGGATAGTAAATGATGTAAGCTAAGGTCTATCATCTTTTCACCGCCCCCTGTTTGCTCTGTCCATTTTCTCTTCGTCTTCACTCGCTCTTGACTTCTTTTCAGTTGTCCCTTTTGTGTGTTCATCTAGCATCTAATTTTTCTCTTCTTCCCTTGGAGGTTCCGACAGTTAATGTCTCTTCTTCCCCACTGTTTTGCGCGAAATCTCAAATACCTAAAGTTGCTTCTCTCCCACTTTTTCTAAACTACTTACGGTTTCCTTCTCATCTCATTGTAGTGTACCCTGATTTTTCTAAATTCTCTTGACGGTTTTGGGTTTGCAGCAATGTTCCCAGAGAGCGTTGTGCAAGGACATTTATTACAGCTGAAATATATGCAGTTGTCATTGCAATTATTGGTATTGCATCTATGCCTGCCTCAACGTTTGTAGCAGTCTCAGACTCCTTTAGTGCTTTGCAAGCCATTAAAATTTTTATTCGCCTCCTAGCTCTTCGTACATAACTTTGGATGCTCCCCTTTTCTAGCAAAAGCAAAAGAAATCGTTTTCCGCTGGGTTCTTGGTCATGTTGATGTTCAGGGCAACGAGCAAGCAGACTCTGCTGCTCTGTCAGCCGTACATAACCTCCCAGGTTCATATAGAAGTATTCTATAGTCAGACTATCTTGTTGTAATCTCTAGCAGCCTCTGCAACCGTTGGAACACGTTTGTCCGATATGACTTAAAACAACTTATATTCCATCAAGCCAAGTTTAAGTTTCTGGCCATATCATCATCGATACCGAGGGTGGGAGGCAACGCCCTGCCGTCTTCGCATCGGGCTCACCCGTCTTACTCCTGGCGCCCTGTTCCACTTCGTGAGAATTGTTAGGTTCTCATATCAGACTGACATATTTCTGAACCATTCATCTACAAATCTGTCAGACACTGCAACTTCTTGGGATCTTAATACTTAGGAATTCTTCGCTTGCCTAATTCTTGGGCACGACCTACTTCCACATTGAACAAATGTGACATGACCTATGACTGCTGCACCTCTCCTGCCATACGGTTTATAAGCTGCTTCTCCGCTGACATGCCGTATTCTATTCAAGATTGATGGACTGAACACATCGACTCAAGGTTGAGGGACTGATTACCTCATTCTCCTCCTGTTCTTCAAGTTTCTCCTACGTATGGACTGATGAAGCCACTGCGTGGCGAAACGTTTCCTCAATAAAGATGCCCAAGAGTTGCACATGTGTCTAATTTATCAACATGTCGGTTCTCTGAACCATTCATCTACATTGACATATTCTGTTGGACTGTCCTGCCTATCAACGAACATGCAGAATTTACCTCTAACACCTTTATTTTATCTTCCCTCCTCCCTGACGGTCCCACCTTTGACACAGACTCAGTCTTTTACTTGTTTTTGACATAAACAGATTCGTTACATAAGCTTTGATAATACTTTGGCAGTCCTCACAGCCCTTTCTACTCTATGCTCCAGCAGCACCCCCTGCCCTGCAGTCCTGTATGACCCTATAACAATAATAATCATTCAGACCTCTCCCCTCAAAGTTTATACACACTATAACCCACTTCTCGCATCCCACCTTTATCATTGTTATTATTAATATAATCAATATTATCTAAAACTTTTTTTTTTTTAGATCAAGTTCCCAAGAACTATTTCCCAAGATGCTAGTGACCTGCTTGAACGTCTGCTACATAAGAACCCAGGGATGCGCTTGGGAAGTGGACCAGGTGATGTGAGAGAGATCCAGTCACACCACTTCTATGAAGCTATCAATTGGAAAAATGTCGAGGAAAAGAAGGTTGGAATCTATCATTATAATTCTTAATATTTTCCTATACCTGCAGGAACTTTCTTAGAGTAGAAATAACTTGGTTCTCTTGTCAAATTTATGATCATGTCAAAATTCTGGATTAGTTTGTAAATACTGTCAACGTTCCCCAGGTAACACCTCCATTTAAACCTCAAGTAGCAGGCGAGACTGATACCAGTAACTTTAATAGGGACTTCACCGGAGAGCTTGTGCACCTGACTCCACCTGATCACAAGTATTACCCCGGTGTTACAGTTGAAGACTCTGAGTCCCTGGTAAGTGCGCCTTCTGTATCAAACAAACTCTTTTAACTTAAAAAACAATTAAGATAAAGTAATGGAGAAAGAGGAAGAATTGACAAGGTAATAATGATTAAAAAAAATCTTTTAAAGGGGCAGAGGTGATAGTGCACTGTATAGAGTGATGCTGAAAATGGCATTTAAATGCCGACAAGTTGATGATTAAGCCACGTGTGCAACTGTTGGGTATCTTTATTGTTGACACGATTCGCTGCTTCCGTCACATAGAGGCAGCAAATGTACCAATGAAATGAAAATGTAATCAGTTCATCAACCTTGTAGAGACTGTACTTCTGGTTGTCAGTCTCTCAGTCAGGAGAAGAGTTCAGCTCTATAGTCTGCGACGATATCTTTCCAGACTATGCAGTTTGGAAAAAAGTATGGAAATTGAGTGGCTAGTACTGTCCAGACTCTGCTCCCATTCTTAGAGTTGTTTGTCAGCATTGCAAACCCTCTTGAAGTTGCCACAGAAATCTGAAATAATCTTGTCCGTAATTCTCAGGGGGCTACATTTATGCCCCTCGTTTCTTTCCTCCAAGTCTGCCAGAGAGTTAATCTTGCAGAGCAATAATGTAGGCAGGCTCATATCAGAGACCTCTTCAAGGGATGCTCCTTGACGTGGCAAAGAGGCTCTTGGTCTAAGGAATTAAACCTTTTGATCCTCAGATCGAACCTAAGTACCCCCCAGTCCTCCCTTCCCTATCCCATCCTCTCCATGCCCCCCTTTTTTCCCCGTTTCCTCCCCCCTCCTAACCCTCTCCTTTCCCTGTCCCATTTGTAGTCTCTGAGGTACTTCCCTCTGGCATTATGGTTTCTAGGTAGGGGGTGGTGTGCTGGGGATCATCCCACTCCATGGAGTCCCTCGGGGATTGTGTAGTTTGCCATGTAATCTGGACTGTATGGAGGCACCTTGCTCCCTTCCTGGATTTTCGAGAAGTGGGCAGGTTGCCCTGCAGATGATGGGTGCATCTCCAGAGGCTGCCTGTCGGTTCTGGGAGGTGACAGCCGAAGGTGGTATGCTTTGTGGTGGGTTTCCAACCACCCTTTCTTTTGTCCATCGAGGTGGCTCAGTAGATGTGAGGTTGCTATCCCAGAGCGCTGGTTTACTGACGTGAAGGGTAGGGTATGGCACAGGATCCACGCTGCATCTGCACTGCTCGTGGGCTCGATGCCCTCTCGAAAGAGGGGACGAATTTATGGCCCTGTCATGCCTTGTAGTGACTGTCCCTCCATTGTCCCTCCTTTTTTTCTTCTATCTTTTTTCTTTAATAAGAAAGAAGCAACACTATCATGGAGTCTTCGTTCTGTGATAACCCTCCTCCTCCCAGGCCCCTTTCTATTCCCACATCCTGTTCTGACCCAGCTTCAATATTGTACCATTCTCTAGACTCTTCCCATACCCTTTTTCTTTCTGCTGGTGATGCTTCATCACCTGCTCCAGGTGTTGAGGCACCATCCATTTCTGTTAATGCCTCTGCATCTCGCAAGCCTTTAACAATGCATCCAGCTTCCCCGAATACGGTACGATGGTTTTTGGATTGCCCATCTCCCTCAGGTCACACCGCCCTTGGTACTACTACTACTAAACGTTTCAGACCACCTACTGACTACAGTTCTTCGATGTCTGCCCAAAAACGACCTGTGCGACACCCACTTCATTTGTGCACCGTGTCTACAAGTATGCAGTGAACTAAATTCTTTTCCCTACAACCGACATCTCCAACTGATTATCTTTCTGATCATAGTATTGGTAAAGCTCTTCTACGACACGTTGGCTAAAATTCATTCTTTCACGCTCTTTGAAACAGTGTGCGCATCATTACAGTCCAGAATGCAGAACAAACTCATGCTCTTTCTCACTTTACTTCCAATGATAGCATTCCAATCGCAGTTCACAAGCACGCTACTCTCAATTCTTGCAGTGGTACAGTGGTTTTACCGTGTACCATTATACAGAGTGATTTTCTGTCTTGCAGTGATTATATTTCAGAGCAAGTAGCCCTTCAGGACCTTCCTATTCTCAAAATGGATACATAGGCCCTGCCCGCTTGCAGGTGGAGGCGCTTTTCCAGTAACATCGTCCGCCTAACCTCTGACTGCCATGAACCCCCGTCCTCCGTTTATATTGCAGACCATCGCCTAGATGTCCATAAAGTAGTCCCTACTCTCAAACAGTGTTGTAATTGTTGGTGCTTCAGACACCCTGCTAATTACTGCAGATCTACAGTGGAGTGCCCGGTCTGAAGTACCACAGATCATGCCGATACATCTTGCAGTCTTCCTCCCTCTTATCTCAATTGCAATGAATCTCATCCTTCTTTTTCACTCCATTGTCAAGTCTATCGTAATGAACGAGAAATCCGTTATATTAAGGAGAGTGATGGCCTTATGCTATGGCTGTTTCTCAGCTCTGCCTTCAGGGAAATCTTTCTTGTGTTCCTTATTTTCGAGTAGCTTGGAGACCTCCAACACTGACGGTCCTCCTGCCCACCAGCTCCTCAGCTATCATATCTTCCAGGGTCACCCCTATTTCTAATTCTTTTGTGGTTTTACTCTCAAACTCCTACCTCTTCCTACCTTTGACTCCTTCATCTTGCTCGCTAGTTTCTCAGTCTACGAGACCTTGCAAGCCTACACCTTTTTTGCGCCTATCACCTGTGAAGCTGAATCTATCTTCTACCTCAGTACCTATTTTTCACCCCCTTTCTAACTCGTACACGAAAGTGGAGATTCACCCCCCTCGTGTAGTCCCCTCTTCTGTTCCCTCCCCCAGTCTTCTTCCCTATTTACCTTTCAACCTCCTTCCTCTCCTTTTCCTCTACATGACACTTCTGCCCCCACCAGTGCATCTCTCCAGGTTCATACTCCCCTCCCCTCTCAGACTTCTTTGGTTCCCTCCATAGTCTTCCCGATCTCTGCTTGCTCTACCTCACCCCGTCTCTGAAATCATGGTATCGGCATCTTCTTTATCCACTGAGACACTTGACGCTGTCTCCAACTATATTGCTGAGACTAAACCATCGATGGACACTGACGCGCCTCCATCTACCCCTTCTTTTTTACGACCCTTGCAACAATCTTTTCCTTTCGATTCCTTCTTGCTTACACACTTACCATTGCCCCCACACATTGACTTCACTGACCATAATAGCCCATAGATTTTTACTGCTTCTTATTGTTGGCAGACCTGTCGTGGTAAGTAATGTCTTATTTACAATGGAATATTCGTGGCCTCGGGTAATCAAGGAGAGCTCCAAGTGTTGCTCTCCCAGTTTTCCCCAATATGTGTGTTGGGCTACAAGAGCCCAAAATTCGTTCAGATATTATTCGTCCTGTTTTGGTCTATGTGCTGTTACATTCTCCTTATCCCTTTCTTGATGAATCACTTAATGAAAGCACACCTCTTAGGCCCGTTGGTATACTGTATCATCAAATTGTTGTTCGTTCTCTGCTGCATTGTACCGCAGCTCGTATTTATTTACACAGATGGTATACAGTTTGCTCTTTCCCCGTCCTGTGCATTCTGGATCTCGGATATTGACTTTTTGATCTCTTCTTTACCGCCACCCATCTTGTTAGGTGATTTTAACTCTCACCATCATCTGTGAGGAGGGTCCCACTGTGACTCGTGGTGGTCAGTTGGGGAGACTTCTTGTTTCTCATTCTCTTCATGCTTTAAATACGGGTGCTCCTACTCATTTTGATTCACACTCAATCTCTCTCTCGCATTGATCTTTCTATCTGTTCCTTGTCAATTGCACATAATTATGCTTGATCTGTTCTCCCAGATTTACATGAGTGATCACTTCCCTATTCTTCTTACTTGTACTACGTATTCCCGACCACCTCGTAGCCCTCGTTGGCAATATGCACTAGCGAACTGGGACTTGTACTCTCACCTTACTACCTTTTGTGGAGACCCTCTTTCGTCCTCTGTTGATGAACTGGTGCACGAGTTTTCAACCTTCGTTTTCACTGCAGCATCACATTCTATTCCTCAAACCTCAGGCAGGCATTCTCAGACATGCTTGCCTTGGTGGTCTCCTGCGTGTGCTCATGCAGTGCGTTTGAAATGTGCTGCATGGGGCTGTTATCTATATAATCAGACCTCAGATCGTCTTATGGATTTTAAGTGGGCAAGGGCAGTTGCTCGCCACGTCATACGCAACGCTAAACTCACTTGTTGGCAAGACTACGTGTCTACTATTATCTCGCCTTCCCCTATGTGTGCTGTTTGGAAGAAGGTACGGAAGTTATTTGGCAAGTACACTCCAGACCCAGCCCCCCGTTTCGCGGGTTGCTGGTGTTAGTGTTGCAGAACCTCTTGAAGTTGCCATGGAAATCGGGAACTATCTTGTCCGTGTCTCCCAAGGGCTTCATCTTTGTCCTTCATTTCTTGCATCTAAGTCTACCAAGGAGCAATTGCCCTTCGATTTCTCCTCTAATGGAATGAAGCCGTATAATGTACCTTTCACTTTCCTAAAACTAGAGTCCATGCTTTCCACTTGCCAGTCATCAGCAGCTGGACCTGATGATATTCATGTCAATATGCCACAATATCTGCAGTTCTTTTACGTCTTTTCAATCTTATTTGGGCACGAGGGGTTCTCCCTTAACTATGCAAATCTGCCATTGTACTACAGTTTCGCAAACAGGCACCTCGGGGCTTGATACCTCTCGCTATCGTCCTAAGCTGATGGAACGATTGGTGAATAGACTTATGATATGATTCTTGGAGACTCACAATAGTCTTTCCCCTCACCAGTATGGCTTTCGCAAGGGCCGCTCTACTTTGGACCCCTTGCTCCACATAATGTGCGAAATGCCGTTGCAGACAAACACTCCGTCCTAGCCTTTGCGGTAATCTACCAACCTTCTTTGCTGCTTTCGAGTCCATGTTGCCTCGCTTTCTTCAGACTTTGTTCAAGCCAAGTGAGTCCCATCCCATGTTTGGTCGACTTTTCTATAGCTAACTC